TAGACTCACACAGAGAACCGTAGACTCACACACAGAGCAGTAGACTCACAGAGAGCCATAGACTCACACAGAGACCCATAGACTCACACAGAGAGGCATAGACTCACACAGAGCCATAGACTCGCACAGAGACTCATACAGAGAGCTGTCAACTCACACAGAGACTCGTAGACTCGCACAGAGTTGTGATTAAACCGGGTTCTCAGGTGCAGCGAGTTGATGGTCTAAGCCCCGTCCCCAGTGACTGCACTTGACCAGGCTCTAGGGATCATGAATATTGGTTTGACCGTCACGTGATGAGCGTCAATCTCACGTGGCAGGGCGAGTGGAAGAGAGTGCTGCCCCTCTACCGTGTGTGGGCCAGTAGAGAAAGAGGGCATCTCAGAGGTAGCTCCTTGATATCCACTTCCGTGGGATCCATTCTAAGTGGACCGGAGTGTCACTTGAAGAAGGGATCTCAGATATTAGCTCTGTGATATCCAGGAACTCTCTCTCTAAGTCGTCCTCTCTCTCTAAGTCGTCCTTTCTCGCTCTCTGAGTCGTCCTTCCTCTCTATCTGAGTCGTCCCCTCTCTCTCTCTGAGTCGTCCTCTCTCTCTGAGTCGTCCTCTCTCTCTCTGAGTCGTCCTTCCTCTCTCTGAGTCGTCCTCTTTCTCTGAGTCGTCCTCTCTCTCTGAGTCGTCCTCTCTCTCTGAGTCGTCCCCTCTCACTCTCTGAGTCGTACTCTCTCTCTCTGAGTCGTCCTCTTTCTCTGAGTCGTCCTCTCTCTCTGAGTCGTCCTCTCTCTCTCTGAGTCGTCCTCCCTCTCTCTGAGTCGTCCTCTTTCTCTGAGTCGTCCTTTCTCTCTCTGAGTCGTCCTCTCTCTCTGAGTCGTCCTCGCTCTCTGAGTCGTCCCCTCTCTCTCTGAGTCATCCTCTCTCTCTGAGTCGTCCTCCCTCTCTCTGAGTCGTCCTCTCTCTCTCTGAGTCGTCCCCTCTCTCTCTGAGTCGTCCTCTCTCTCTGAGTCGTCCTCTCTCTCTGAGTCGTCCTCTCTCTTTCTGAGTCGTCCTCTCTCTCTGAGTCGTCCTCTCTCTCTGAGTCGTCCTTTCTCTCTCTCTATGAGTCGTCCTCTCTCTCTGTGAGTCGTCCTCTCTCTCTGAGTCGTCCTCTCTCTCTGAGTCGTCCTCTCTCTCTCTGAGTCGTCCCCTCTCTCTTTCTCTGAGTCGTCCTCTCTCTCGAGTCGTTCCCCCTCTCTCTCTGAGTCGTCCTCTCTCTCTGTGAGTCGTCCTCTCTCTCTCTGAGTCGTCCTCTCTCTGAGTCGTCCCCTCTCTGTGAGTCGTCCTCTCTCTCTGAGTCGTCCTCTCTCTCTCTGAGTCGTCCTCTCTCTCTGAGTCGTCCTCTCTCTCTCTGAGTCGTCCTCTCTCTCTCTCTCGAGTCGTCCTCTCTCTCTCTCTGAGTCGTCCTCTCTCTCTCTGAGTCGTCCTCTCTCTCTCTCGAGTCGTCCCCCCTCTCTCTCTGAACGTCAATCTTTAAAAAACGTTGATTTGCTGCGAAATCTCCAAAGCTTTTCAGTTCAATAAAAAATACATTTGTGTTACTTAATTAAAATAACAATATTGTTTAATTTAAAAATAACAATAATAACATGACTACTACTACTAACCGTATTACAGTTCTCCGCAAGCCTGGCTTAAAGAGCAATCAACTATTCTGATGCTTTGCTCCGAGCTTTCAATAGCGAACACGATACGTGTGTGTGTGTGTGTCCGTGTGTGTGCACATGTGTGGGTGTGTGTGGGTGTGTGTTCACGTGTGTGTGCACGTGTGTGTGCACGTGTGTGTGCGTGTGTGTGCATGTGTGTGTGTGTGTCCGTGTGTGTGCACGTGTGTGTGGGTGTGTGTGCACGTGTGTGTCCGTGCGTGTGTGTGTGCGTGTGTGTGTCCGTGTGTGTGCATGTGTGTGCACGTGTGTGTGCGTGTGTGTGTGGGTGTGTGTGTGCGTGTGTGTGTGTCCGTGCGTGTGTGTGCACGTGTGTGTGCACGTGTGTGTGTGCGTGTGTGTGCACGTGTGTGTGTGTCCGTGTGTGTGCACGTGTGTGTCCGTGTGTGTGCACGTGTGTGTGCACGTGTGTGTGTGCGTGTGTGTCCGTGTGTGTGTCCGTGTGTGTGCATGTGTGTGTGGGTGTGTGTGTGTACACGTGTGTGTGTGGGTGTGTGTGTGCGTGTGTGTCCGTGTGTGTACGTGGGTGCATGCCCGTGCGTGTGTACGTGTGTGTGCATGTGTGTGCACGTGCGTGTGTGTACACGCGTGTGTGTGCGTGTGTGTACGTGAGTGTATGTCCGTGCATGTGTATGTACGTGTGTGTTCTTGTGTGTACGTGCGTGTGTACGCGTGTGTACGTGGTGTGTGTATGTGCCTGTGTGTACGTGCATGTGTGTCGTGGTGTGCATGTGTGTACGTGTGTGTGTGTACGTGTGTGTGTACGTGTGTGGCCTCAGGGTGCACATAGCCTGGCACAAGCGTCGTGGTGACGTCACCGCCACTTAGTGGCGAATGGCGGTTGTTGTTGTTGTTGTACGTGTGTGTGCGTCCGTGCATGTGCGGGTGTCCGTGTGTGTGTGTGTGTGCATGTGTGTGTGCATGTGTGTGTACGTGCGTGTGTGTACACGCGTGTGTGTGTGTGAATGTGTGTGTGCATGTGTGTGTGTGTACATATGGAGAGCGGTAGTGGAGTGGTTAGCGCTACGCTGCACTACGAACCCAGCGACCCGGGTTCGATTCCCGCTCACGGCCAACACCAGTGACGTTGTTGATGACGATGTTGATGACGATGTTGATGACGACGACGACGAAGATGACGATGTCGATGACGATGTCGATCATGATGACGACGATGATGACGACGATGACGTCACCTCACCTGCGAAGTTGCCGCTCGTCGTGTAGCCGTGGACGTTCACCGCCCTCGCTTCGCCCACCTCCTCCTCCTCATCCTCCACCTCGTCATCCTCCTCATCCACAACGTCGGTCTCCATCTCGTACGCAGCCTCCACGTGTCTACGCAGCACAGAGACAAAGGTCCCCCGCGTAGCCTCAACAGACCCTTGGGTGCAAGGGCCGCGCTAGCGGGGAGCACCGACGAAGGCCCGGGACGGCACTACGAGGGGGTGGGTGGCCAACACCACGCCCGGCCGCCTTTGTCTCCCCCGGTACCCTGGTGCCATGTGCTTAGGGGAGGCCCAGGACCGGTCGATTAATCGTCACTGGTGTTGGTGGCCGTGAGCGGGAATCGATCTCGGATCTCCAGGTTCTCAGCCCAATGTGCTAAACGCTACGATAATGCTCCCCACATAATACACGCTCACTCACCCGCCCACTCACTCACCCGCTCACTCACACGCTCACTCACACGCTCACTCACCCGCTCACTCACCCGCTCACTCACTGACTCATCCATCCACCCACTCACCCACCCAATCACTCACCCACTCACTCACTCACCCACTCACCCACCCACTCACTCACTCACCCACTCACCCACTCACTCACTCACCCACTCTTTAACCCACTCACCCACTCACTCACTCACCCACTCACCCACCCACTCAACTCACCCACTCACCCACCCATCCACCCACTCACTCACCCACTCACTCACTCACCCACTCACCCATCCACCCACTCACTCACCCACTCATCCACCCACTCACTCACCCCTCTCGAATCCCTCTCCCGGCTATAAGCGATCACCGACACGGCTGTGACGTCGTCTCACGTGCCACCGCCGCCCCCCGGTCGGCGTTCCACATTTCCTGGTGTCCGGCGGTAAGCAGACAAAAAAGTCCCCGCCCCCCGCCGCCCCCCCCCCCCCCCCGCTTACCGCAGCATGGGGTGCCTCTCCCCATCCTCCTCCTCAATCATCGGCGAGGGACCGAGCGCTCCGGCAGACCGGTGGCCATACGGCAGGGCCGGCGGCGGCGGCGGTGGCGGCGGCGGCGTCTGCCCCGCGCGGCGCTCTCCGGCGCCGGAGGTGGAGGCGGCGGAGGCGGCGGAGGCGGAGGAGGCGGAGGCGAAGGCGGAGGCGGAGGCAGAGGCGGAGGCGGCGGAGGAGGCGGAGGCGGAGGCGGAGGCGGCGGAGGTGGCGGAGGCGGCGGAGGCAGAGGCAGAGGCGGAGGCGGCGGAGGAGGCGGGGCCGCGGACGGGCGGAGTCGGCGGCGGCGTCGGCGGCGTCTGGGGGCCCTCCTCGTCCTCCACGTCGAGGCCCTGGCGCAGGTAAGTTCGCTCCGGCGGCACCGGGCACCACTCGGAGAAGCTGCCGCGTTGTGCGGGGGTGGGGTGGGGGGTTGGTTGGGGGGAGGGGGGTTGGTGGGGGGGTGGTGGGGGGGTTGGGGGGGGTTATAGGGGGGATGGTGGGGGGTGGTGGCGGCATGGGGCGCCCGTTGAACGTGCGCCGCACGTGGTATAGTGTAGTTTATAGTGTAGTGTATGGTAATTCAGTGTATATTAATGTAGTGTATAGTGTAGTGTATAGTGTAGCATATAATAGTGGAGTGTATAGGAGTGCAGTGTATTGTAATGTAGTGTATAGTAGTGTATAGTGTAGTGTATAGTGTATAGTAGTGTATAGTGTAGTGTATAGTGTAGTGTATAGTGTTGTTTATAGCAATTCAGCGTATAGTAATGCAGTGTATAGTAATGTAGTGTAGAGTGTAGTGTATAATAGTGCAGTGTATAGTAGTGCAGTGTATTGTAATGTAGTGTATTGTAGTGTATAGTGTAGTGTATAGTGTAGTGTATTGTGTAGTGTATATTGTAGTGTATAGTGTAGTTTATAGCAATTCAGCGTATAGTAATGCAGTGTATAGTAATGTGGTGTATAGTGTAGTGTGTATTAGTGTATAGTCTAGTGTATAGTAGCGTCGTATATTATGCAGTGTATAGTGGTGTATGGTGTAGTGATGTAGTATATTGTGTAGTATATAGTAGTGTATAGTGTAGTGTATAGCAGTTTTCATCAATGCTCAACTTCCTTGCCACCTCATGTAGCCAATCGCGCTAAGCGCAAGTGCGGGGAGGGGGGAGGAGACAAGCATTGTGACGTCACGCACACGTGACACCCACCCCCCCACCCCCCCACCTGTCGTTGTAGAGGATGTGATTGGTGGGTGGGGTGGGGAGGCCGTCACCCCCCCACCCTCCGCCGGGGGGCGCCCCCCGCCCCCCCACCTTGCCGCCCACCACCACCTTGCCCCTCCTCTTCCTGTTGCTCCTCCCTCCTGCAGCGCACGCACGGCGACCCTATTACATCGCTCCGTCGTTCATTCGCACGTCCCTTCATTCGTGAATTCGTTCGGAACATTCCGTCCGCGCTCGCAACCAGCTGAATCATTCGCTCGGCCGTTCGGTCGCTTGCCCGAGCGCACACCTCACACGTGGCTGCCCACGCCATTCATTCGCTGGCTAGCTGGCTCGCTCGCTCGCTCGCTCGCTCGCTCGCTCGCTCGCGCATCACACGTATATACGCGGACGTACAATCATTCGCTCACTCGTTCACGTCGATTCGCGCATTTCGTTCAGTCGATTTCGTGACGTCCCGAACTCACTCGGCCGTTGAATTCGCTCGTTCATCAATTCGAACATGCACTCAGCCATTCACTCGCCCGTTCAAACAATTCATTTGCCCGCTCACTCATTCGTTAAGTCGTTCACTCACCTGTTCACGCTATGAAAGCTTTTAACATTGAACGCTTTGGAAGTCGTTCACGTTGAACGCTATGGAAGCATTTGACATGCAACGCTATGGGGGAGCCTTTAACACAGAACGCTTTGGAAGCCTTTAAAACTGAACGCTATGGGAGCCTTTAACATTGCAAGCTATTGGGAGCCTTTAACATTAAACACTTTGGAAGCCTTAAATACTGAACGCTATTGGGAGCCTTTAACATTGCAAGCTATTGGGAGCCTTTAACATTAAACACTTTGGAAGCCTTAAATACTGAACGCTATTGGGAGCCTTTAACATTGCAAGCTATTGGGAGCCTTTAACATTAAACACTTTGGAAGCCTTAAATACTGAACGCTATTGGGAGCCTTTAACATTGAAAGCTATTGGGAGCCTTTAACATTGAACAGCTATTGGAAGCCTTAAATACTGAACGCTATTGGGAGCCTTTAACATTGAACGCTATGGGGAGCCTTTAACATTGAACGCTATGGGGAGCCTTTAACATTGAACGCTATGGGAAGCCTTTAATACTGAACGCTATGGGAGCCTTTAACATTGAACGCTATGGGGAGCCTTTAACATTGAACGCTATGGGGAGCCTTAACACTGAACGCTATGGGGAGCCTTTAACATTGAACGCTATGGGGAGCCTTTAACATTGAACGCTATGGGGAGCCTTTAACATTGAACGCTATGGGGAGCCTTTAACATTGAACGCTATGGGGAGCCTTTAACATTGAACGCTATGGGGAGCCTTTAACATTGAACGCGATGGGGAGCCTTTAACATTGAACGCTATGGGGAGCCTTTAACATTGAACGCTATGGGGAGCCTTTAACATTGAACGCTATGGGGAGCCTTTAACATTGAACGCGATGGGGAGCCTTTAACATTGAACGCTATGGGGAGCCTTTAACATTGAACGCTATGGGGAGCCTTTAACATTGAACGCTATGGGGAGCCTTTAACATTGAACGCTATGGGGAGCCTTTAACATTGAACGCTATGGGGAGCCTTTAACATTGAACGCTATGGGGAGCCTTTAACATTGAACGCTATGGGGAGCCTTTAACATTGAACGCTATGGGGAGCCTTTAACATTGAACGCTATGGGGAGCCTTTAACACTGAACGCTATGGGGAGCCTTTAACATTGAACGCTATGGGGAGCCTTTAACATTGAACGCTATGGGGAGCCTTTAACATTGAACGCTATGGGGAGCCTTTAACATTGAACGCTATGGGGAGCCTTTAACATTGAACGCTATGGGGAGCCTTTAACATTGAACGCTATGGGGAGCCTTTAACATTGAACGCTATGGGGAGCCTTTAACATTGAACGCTATGGGGAGCCTTTAACATTGAACGCTATGGGGAGCCTTTAACATTGAACGCTATGGGGAGCCTTTAACATTGAACGCTATGGGGAGCCTTTAACATTGAACGCTATGGGAGCCTTTAACATTGAACGCTATGGGGAGCCTTTAACATTGAACGCTATGGGGAGCCTTTAACATTGAACGCTATGGGGAGCCTTTAACATTGAACGCTATGGGGAGCCTTTAACATTGAACGCTATTGGGAGCCTTTAACATTGAAAGCTATGGGGAGCCTTTAACATTCATCTCTATGGGGAGCCTTCAACATCGAAAGCCCGTTAACGCCGGAGAATACCCCACCAGGCAAACAGAACAACAGCCACAACAACAACAACTCAGAAACTCCGCACAGATGGATATCGCGACGAGCCCGCTTGCTCCACCGCTATCGGCTCACCCGATGCGCCGCTGCTGTACTCGGACTCGGCACACGAGCCCTGTGTGGGAGACGAACGGCTGAGGTCTAGACTCGCGGGGCAAAGGGGAGACAAAGACGGGTGGGAGGGGTGGAGGGGGGGGGGTCACAGTCGTGACCCCAGACTCGCGTCGCCTCGCCCAGGAGACAGCGAGGTGGGTGCCATGAGTGGGTGAGCGGGTTGGTCGGTGAGCGGGTGGGTGAGCGGGTGGGTGAGCGGTTGGGTGAGCGGGTGGGTGAGCGGGTGGGTGAGCGGGTGGGCGGGTGAGCGGGTGGGGGCGGGTGAGCGGGTGGGCGGGTGAGTGGGTGGGTGAGCGGGTGGGTTAGCAGGTGGGTGAGCGGGTGTGTGTTTGGGTGAGCAGATGGGTGAGTAGGTGGGTGGGTGGGTGCGTGAGTGGGTGAGCGGGTGGGTTAGCAGGTGGGTGAGCGGGTGTGTGTTTGGGTGAGCAGATGGCTGAGTAGGTGGGTGGGTGGGTGCGTGAGTGGGTGAGCGGGTGGGTTAGCAGGTGGGTGAGCGGGTGTGTGTTTGGGTGAGCAGATGGGTGAGTAGGTGGGTGGGTGGGTTCGTGAGTGGGTGGGTTGGTTATCGGGTGGGTGAGAGGGTGGGTGTTTGGGTGAGCGGGTGGGTGAGTGGGTGGGTGGGGGGGTGAGTGGGTGGGTGGGTGGGGGGGGTGAGTGACAGGGTGAATGAATGACTCAAGTCGTGAGAAGATAAATTATTGAGTGAGTGAGTGGGTGAGTCATTGACTGAATGGGTGGAGTGGATGGGTGGTTGTGTGTGTGGGTCATTGGGTGGGTGGGTGGGTGAGTGAGTGATTGTGTGGGTGGATGACTGGGTGGGTGAGTGGGTGGGTGGGTGGGTGAGTGAGTGAGTGTGTGGGTGGATGACTGGGTAGGTGAGTGGGTGAGTGGGTGAGTGGGTGGGTGAGTGAGTGATTGTGTGGGTGGATGACTGGGTGGGTGAGTGGGTGGGTGGGTGAGTGAATGGGTGGGTGAGTGAGTGGGTGAGTGGGTGAGTGAGTGAGTGAGTGGGTGGTTGTGTGAGTGGATGACTGGGTGGGTGAGCGGGTGAGCGAGCAGGCGACCGCGTGGGTGGACGCGTGAGTGAATGAACGAATCTATTTGTGAGCGATCGAGCGAGTGGCCAAGTTCCGTGGCCGCGTGGTGACGCTCGCGGTCACGTTGCAAACGACGACGATGATGGTGATGACGACGATGGCGACGACGACGACGGCGAACATCGACGGCTCACCCTGGCGATACGCTCCCCGCTCCGCGGCCCCCAGGGTGACGTCTGGCGGCCTCACTCCCCACGGCAGCGGCGAGCCTCCTCCACCAACTCCTCCTCCACCTCCTCCACCGCTGCCGCCGATCGACGAGGAGCAGATGAGCGGCGTCGTCACGTACGGCGACGCCAAGCTGTGAGTGCCGGGGCTGGGAAGCGCCATCAGGGTCACGGCTGAACAGCCACCGCCACCACCGCCACCGCCACCGCCACCACCGCCACCACCGCCGCCAACGCGATGCGTCGCCGATGAGCCTTTGCCGCTGCTGCCACCGCCGTAGCTGCCGCCGCCGCCGTGGTTGATGCTGCTGTAGATGGCGCTGTCCGACAGCAGCGTGCAGGACTTGTCGTCCGAGTAGCACAGCAGCGGCCCCGCGTCTGTGGAAGTTGTCCCGGCCGGTGGACGGACAAATCGGATGAGATGGACGGATATATGGGACGGGCGGGCGGGCGGGCGGGCGGACACATGGATGGATAGTTGGACAGGTGAACAGATGGATGGATGGGACAGGAGGAGAGACGGACGGATAAATGGATGGGTAGATGGACAGGTGAACAGATGGACGGATGGATGGACGGATGGACGGACGGATGGACGGACGGACGGACGGATGGATGGATGGATGAATGGGACAGGAGGAGAGACGGACAAATAAATGGATGGGTAAATGGACAGGGGAACAGATGGATGGGTGGATGGACGGACGGACGAATAGACGGATGGACGGGCAGATAGATGGGACAGGAAGACAGACGGACAAATGGGTAGATGGATAGGTGAAAACATGAATGGATAGACAGATCGAAGGATGGGCTGACGGATGGATGGATGGATGGACGAATAGACGGATGAGTGGACAAGACAACAGGCAGACATACAGACGGACAAACGAGTGAGTGACCAAGGGAGTTAGGCTGAGTGAGTGGTGAGCGGTGATTACTGAGCGGTGAGCGGTGATCAGTGAGTGGTGAATGGTAATTGGTGAGCGGTGAGGAGCGGCGAGCGGCGATTGGCGAGCGCCGATCGGTGGCGAGCGGCGAGGAGTGGTGAGCGGTGAGGAGTGGTGAGCGGTGAGGAGTGGTGAGCGGCGAGGAGTGGCGAGCGGTGATTGGTGAGCGGCGAGGAGTGGTGAGCGGCGAGGAGTGGTGAGCGGTGAGGAGTGGTGAGCGGCGAGGAGTGGCGAGTGGTGATTGGTGAGCGGCGAGGAGTGGCGAGCGGCGAGGAGTGGCGAGCGGCGAGGAGTGGTGAGCGGCGAGGAGTGGTGAGCGGCGAGGAGTGGTGAGCGACGAGGAGTGGTGAGCGGTGATTGGTGAGCGGCGAGGAGTGGTGAGCGGTGAGGAGTGGCGAGCGGCGATTGGTGAGCGGCGATTGGTGAGCGGCGAGGAGTGGCGAGCGGCGAGGAGTGGCGAGCGGCGATTGGTGAGCGGCGAGGTAACTCGGCGAGCGGTCACCGTGCAGGGTGAGGCCCGGCTCGGCCCGCCCCAGCGAGCCGTGGCTGCACGCCCCAGGGCTGGGCATGACGGCGAGGCCGCCCGCCGGCCACGCGTCGGAGAGCCACGGGAAGGCGCCGGGGTCCCGGCCTCCCAGCGCCGACGGCCTGGCACGCGAAGGCGCAAACACACAAAGAAGGCAAATATCAAGCCGTGTGGCCTGCGAGGGACTCGCGGTGAGCGGCGAGGGTGCAGTGAGCGGCGATTGGTGAGCGGTGAGGGGCGGTGAGTGGCGATTGGTGAGTGGAGAGGGGCGGTGAGCAGTGATTGGTGAGCGGTGAGGGTGCAGTGAGTGGCGATTGGTGAGCGGTGATGGGCAGTGAGCGGCGATTGGTGAGCGGAGAGGGGCGGTGAGCGGCGATTGGTGAGCTGAGAGGGGCGGTGAACGGTGATTGGTGAGCGGCGATGGGCGATGAGCGGCGATTGGTGAGCGGTGAGGGGCGGTGAGCGGCGATTGGTGAGCGGAGAGGGGCAGTGAGCGGCGATTGGTGAGTGGTGAGGAGTGGTGAGCGGCGATTGGTGAGCGGAGAGGGGCAGTGAGCGGCGATTGGTGAGCGGAGAGGGTGCAGTGAGCGGCGATTGGTGAGCGGTGAGGGTGCAGTGAGCGGCGATTGGTGAGCGGTGAGGGTGCAGTGAGCGGCGATTGGTGAGCGGAGAGGGTGCAGTGAGTGGCGATTGGTGAGCGGTGATGGGCAGTGAGCGGCGATTGGTGAGCGGAGAGGGGCGGTGAGCGGCGATTGGTGAGCGGAGAGGGGCGGTGAACGGTGATTGGTGAGCGGCGATGGGCGATGAGCGGCGATTGGTGAGCGGTGAGGGGCGGTGAGCGGCGATTGGTGAGCGGTGAGAAGTGGTGAGCGGCGATTGGTTGAGCGGTGAGGGGCGGTGAGCGGCGATTGGTGAGCGGAGAGGGGCAGTGAGCGGCGATTGGTGAGTGGTGAGGAGTGGTGAGCGGCGATTGGTGAGCAGTGAAGGGCAGTGAGCAGCGATTGGTGAGTGGTGAGGAGTGGTGAGCGGCGATTGGTGAGCGGAGAGGGGCGGTGAGCGGTGATTGGTGAGCTGAGAGGGGCGGTGAGCGGCGATTGGTGAGGGGCAGTGAGCGGCGATGGGTGAGCGGTGAGGGGCGGTGAGCGGCGATTGGTGAGTGGAGAGGGGTGGTGAGTGGCGATTGGTGAGCGGAGAGGGGCGGTGAGCGGCGATTGGTGAGCGGTGAGGAGTGGTGAGCGGCGATTGGTGAGCGGTGAGGGGCGGTGAGCGGCGATTGGTGAGCAGAGAGGGGCAGTGAGGGGCGATTGGTGAGTGGTGAGGGGCGGTGGGCCTCCCCTAGGTCGACTCAGCCTCAAATGAGTACCTGGTGCGGTGGAAAAAAAACATCGCCACTGGGGAGACAAAGGCGGTCGGGCGTGGTGCTGGCCACTCACCCCTTCGTATACCGAGCCGGCCTTCATAGGTGCTCGCTAACAGCACTTGCCCCTACAGTCTGTTAAGGCTACACGGGGGATTTGTGTTCCCGTGTGTGTGTTTGTTCCAGTGTGTGTGTGTTCCCGTGTGTGTGTGTGTGTCTGTGTGTGTGTCTGTGTGGGTGTTTGTGTTCCCGTGTTTGTCTGTGTGTGTGTGTGTTCCCGTGTGTGTCTGTGTGTGCGTTCCCATGTGTGTCTGTGTGTGTGTGTTCCCGTGTGTGTGTGTGTGTTCCCGTGTGTGTGTGTGTGTGTCTGTGTGTGTGTGTTCCCGTGTGTGTGTGTGTTCCCATGTGTGTGTGTTCCCGTGTGTGTGTGTGTGTGTGTTCCCGGGTGTGTGTGTGTGTTCCCGTGTGTATGTGTTCCCGTGTGTGTGTGTGTCTGTGTGTGTGTGTTCCCATGTGTGTGTGTGTGTGTGTTCCCGTGTGTGTGTGTGTCTGTGTGTGTGTGTTCCCACTTACCGGTTGCCACTTGTCAGGGCCATATCCCCTCTCTGAAACGCCACTGAGAACACACACACAGGAACACACACAGACAGGAACACACACACACACAGGAACACACACACACACAGGAACACACACACACAGGAACACACACACAGGCACGCACACACGCACATAAATGATAAAGGTCCCCCGTATAACCTTCACGAGCTGATGGGGGCAAGTACTGTGCTGTTCGCGGAGCAGCGCCTATGAAGGCAACCAAGGGTGTGGGTGGCCAGCAAATACCGTGTCATGGCATACTGAGTGTGTGGGTGGGTGAGTGTGTGGTTGAGAGTGTGGGTGGGTGAGTGTGTGGTTGAGAGTATGGGTGGGTGTGTGGGTGGGTGGGTGTGTGAGTGGGTGGGTGAGTGTGTGGCTGAGTGTACTAGTGGTGAGTGTGTGGGTGAGTGAGTGTGTGGGTGAGTGTGTGGGTGAGTGTACTAGTGGTGATTGTGTGAGTGAGTGGGTGAGTGTGTGGGTGATTGTGTGGGTGAGTGTGTGGCTGAGTGTAGTAGTGGTGATTGTGTGGGTGAGTGTGTGGGTGAGTGAACTAGTGGTGATTATGTGGGTGAGTGTGTGGGTGAGTGAACTAGTGGTGATTGTGTGAGTCAGTGGGTGGCTGAGTGTTCTACTGGTGAGTGTGTGGGTGAGTGAGTGGGTGAGTGAACTAGTGGTGATTGTATGTATGTGTGAGTGATTGTGTGGCTGAGTGTACTAGTGGTGAGTGTGTGGCTGAGTTTACTAGTGGTGAGTGTGTGGGTGAGTGTGTGGGTGAGTGTGTGGCTGAGTGTACTAGTGGTGAGTGTGTGGGTGAGTGTGTGGGTGAGTGAACTAGTGGTGATTGTGTGAGTAAGTGATTGTGTGGCTGAGTGAACTAGTGGTGAGTGTGTGGGTGAGTGTGTGGGTGAGTGAACTAGTGGTGATTGTGTGAGTAAGTGATTGTGTGGCTGAGTGTACTAATGGTGATTGTGTGGGTGAGTGTGTGGCTGAGTGTACTAGTGATGAGTGTGTGGGTGAGTGAGTGGGTGAGTGAACTAGTGGTGATTGTGTGAGTAAGTGATTGTGTGGCTGAGTGTACTAATGGTGAGTGTGTGGGTGAGTGTGTGGGTGAGTGAACTAGTGGTGATTGTGTGAGTCAGTGTGTGGCTGAGTGTACTAGTGGTGAGTGTGTGGGTGAGTGAGTGGGTGAGTGAACTAGTGGTGATTGTATGTGTGAGTGAGTGATTGTGTGGCTGAGTGTACCAGTGGTGAGTGTGCAGGTGAGTGTGTAGGTGAGTGAGCTAGTAGTGATTGTGCGAGTGAGTGTGTGAGTGAGTGTGTGGCTGAGTGTACTAGTGGTGATTGTGTGAGTGAGTGAGTGATTGTGTGGCTGATTGTACTAGTGGTGAGTGTGTGGGTGAGTGTGTGGGTGAGTGAACTAGTGGTGATTGTGTGAGTCAGTGTGTGGCTGAGTGTACTAGTGGTGAGTGTGTGGGTGAGTGTGTGGGTGAGTGAACTAGTGGTGATTGTGTGAGTCAGTGTGTGGCTGAGTGTACTAATGGTGAGTGTGTGGGTGAGTGTGTGGGTGAGTGAACTAGTGGTGATTGTGTGAGTGAGTGAGTGATTGTGTGGCTGAGTGTACTAGTGGTGATTGTGTGAGTCAGTGTGTGGCTGAGTGTACTAGTGGTGAGTGTGTGGGTGAGTGTGTGGGTGAGTGAACTAGTGGTGATTGTGTGAGTGAGTGAGTGATTGTGTGGCTGAGTGTACTAGTGGTGATTGTGTGAGTCAGTGTGTGGCTGAGTGTACTAGTGGTGAGTGTGTGGGTGAGTGTGTGGCTGAGTGTACTAGTGGTGAGTGTGTGGGTGAGTGAGTGGGTGAGTGAACTAGTGGTGATTGTGTGAGTAAGTGATTGTGTGGCTGAGTGTACTAATGGTGAGTGTGTGGGTGAGTGTGTGGGTGAGTGAACTAGTGGTGATTGTGTGAGTGATTGTGTGGCTGAGTGAACTAGTGGTGAGTGTGTGGGTGAGTGTGTGGGTGAGTGAACTAGTGGTGATTGTATGTGTGAGTGGGTGAGTGTGTGGCTGAGTGTACTAGTGGTGAGTGTCTGGGTGAGTGTGTGGGTGAGTGTGTGGCTGAGTGTACTAGTGGTGAGTGTGTGGGTGAGTGGGTGAGTGAACTAGTGGTGATTGTGTGAGCGAGTGAGTGTGTGTGTGGGTGAGTGTACTAGTGGTGAGTGTGTGAGTAAGTGTGTGGGTGAGTGAACTATTTGTGATTGTCTATTTATTTGCGTTTCACCCAGGTACTCATTTTGAGGCCGAGTCGACCTAGGCGAGGAGTGATAAATAAATAAAAATCACCACTTTTGTGTTGGTAGTGGCCGTGAGTGCGCTCGCCACTGCACCACCGCTCCCCGCACACAACAACAATCGTCACCAGGGCGGTTGTGCCAGGCTAGGTGCACTTTGAGACCCAGGTGCCGTGGGTTGACTGAGATGACTGGGCAGGCACCAGCTGTGCTGCCCACTGTGCCAGACTAG